CGCCGCCCATCCCAGAAGCATGAGGAAGAGAGTTCACGGCAAGTGTTCCAACCATCCACACAGGCACTCACACATGGCCACGGAATGGTTATGTTGTTTGGCTTTTGGTTTGCGTGCTGTTACTGTTTTGTGGTACTGAGGAGTGAACCCAGATTCTCATGCCTTCCGGCCCAAGCCACTCTTTTCTCTTTGAGTCAGTGAGGACACTCTATTAGGAAGTTGCCTCAAGCCAACAGAACCCCAGGCTGTGACTACACTTCTATGAGCCACAGGAGACTGTGGCTATCTCCAAGAGCTGGAGAAGTTGCCTCCACCATGGCTATGCCATTTCTACCTGAGGAAAAATACCAGGCATGCCAACTCCCTAAAGCCTCACCTAGGAAAAGGCCGGGGGTTTCAGGGGGCCAAGAGTCCCTTTGTCAGTGAAGTTCTGTGAACAGGAAGCTCTCCCAGCTCATGCCCCCCTTTCAGGACCTCCGCTGTGACACACATGCTGATTCTCTACTTAGAAGTGCAGTGTTAATGAGAGTCACAGATTCCTGAGCATGGCATGTCCCTTGGGGAACCCCCACAAAGCCACCAGCAAGTGCCTAGGGAAATGATGCCCAGAGTGGGCTCCGGTCAAGAACGCACTGTGCCTGCCTGGCAGCCTATGATGTCATCCACAGGATGAACTTCCTCTATGCCAGTCATCTCTCTAGAGTAACCCTACAAGAGTTAAGAGAAGCTGCAAAGGTGTTGGGGAGGTGGATGCATCAGTACAGTGCTTGCTGTGCCTGGATCCCTGGAGTATACTGGCAAGACAGCCTGGCTGGATCAGTGAGCCCCAGGTCCCAGTTAAGAGACATTGACTCAAAAAATAAAGTAGACAGTGACTAAGAAACAACGCCCAAAGTTGACCTCTGACATCCACACTCTCACACATGTGCACGTGCGTGTGCACACACACACACACACACACACACACAAATAAGACACTCAATTATCTGATTAAATAAATGCACAGAAACCAGAGATGCTGTCTTGGGATGAATCAAGCCCCTCCTAATCCCAACACCTCACAATATGACTGTCTGGAGACAGGGTTTTAAAAGAGACGGCTGAATGACTGCAGTACCTGAGGAGCCTTGAACCAACCTAAGTGATGCCCTTATTAGGGGAAATCTGGACACCTGAAGACATCGGGAAGGGTCATCTACACAGAGGAGGACCACATGAGGACTCGGAGAGAACACGGCAGTCCAACAGCAAAGGAAAAAGACCTCTGAACCGACCAGCCCTGGGGACACTGGGCATTTGGACTTCCAGCCTCCAAGGAAGGAAGTTTGTTACAGCAGCACAAACAAACTAATACAGATATCCAGACAGGTAACCAAGAGGGCCACTTGCAAAGATGTATCCTGCCCTGGCCTGGGACTGTGAAAGTTCACCCCTACATGGCAGACATTTCTGGTGCCACAACCACATCCCTATCAGGAAGGACCAGCCACTGCTGCAGAGGCTCCAACCAGCCTAGCTAAGTGTCAGTGACATGCCAGCCCAAAGTGCACCTCAAAGAGAGAGGTGGGACTCCACATCTCAAACCTGAAGGAAACGTAAGGAAGAGTGAGAAGAGACGAGATGGGATGTCTGGGGGAGAAGACCACATCTCACTTCCCTATGGCTCCAATTAGGCTCCCCCCCCCAAGGTACCAGCTTTAATCCCACACACTTGTGGGTAGCCACACAATGGCTACCTTTTCTCTCTCAGCCTTTGCAGTCTAGGATGAAGACCGTTAGCGGTGCAGAGAATCTACAAAGGAGAGAGGTACATGCAAACACCTCTCTGGATGTCAAAGTTTGCAACACGTCACGTTGGATGTCAGTCATGTGTGATTCCTGGAAGCAGCTCCTGTCCACCAAAAACAGATGCCAGCATGAGTGTGTGGAGCCGGCCACTCGCTTGGGTTTTTACTAACACCATCTTCTTGGCCATCACAATGAGAGGCAATAGACATGTGTGACTGGAGGAAACTGACTCCCCCACCCACCCATTCGCACCCAGAGCCCGCTCAGGAGGGACTTAGGCCACGTTTTCTCAGACAGGAGGAAACCAGAGAGCCACTGAGAGCCACGAGCAACTGCTCCTTCTTCCTACTACAGCCTCTTATGCAGTCTCCCTAAGATGTCAGACACCAAAAGAGAGGAGGGAGGGAGGGAGGGAGGGAGGGAGGGAGGAAGGGAGGGAGAGAGCATGCTTCTCCCCCGGGGTAAGTGTGCCAAGACAGAAGCAAGCTGAAAAGAGCCGGCAGCACCAACACAGACAGTGTTACCATTTGTTTTCTTCAGAAAACTGAAAGCAAGAACCCATTCCTAGGCATACACGCGCATACAGGGAAAGTAGGAGTAAACCCGCCAGCAAGAAGGGCTTTCTGGCTCCCCTTTCCCCTGCTCCTCCCGGGCCTTCTACTGCCCACTCTGACTCCATAGTAAGGTTCAGAACGTTAGAAACTGAAGCAGCTTCAAGCTGAATGTACCCCCCAACATCTCCACCCAGCCTCAGAAGTGGCTGGCTCACAAGTTCCAGGAGCAGTAAATTTTCAGGGAATCAAGTCTTGCTGCCATGGGAAAGTCCATTCCCTGCCTGTGCAAAATCGATCCCGGATAACCACAAGGACTCCATATCAAAAGCCATTAATTCACACTCCACATGGCACCTGCAGAAGGGCCAGGCTGCAGCCCTTTTCAGGTCTGGGGAGCAAATTAACAGTGACATCAGAGGGAAACCTTTAGCCAGCCTCACAGAGCAGGCCAGCAGGCTGCCTCTGAGCACGATGCTGTGGTCATTTGTATTCAGGAGCTGAGGCAATTAGAAACAAAGCCTGCCTATTTATGAGACCTTCCGAGACGTGGCCCCCTTCTCACATTAACAGTGGCAATTAATTTCTTCTCCAATGTCCCAGAACAGATGTTTACTGAGTCTTCTGCCAAAGAGCGAGGTCTGGGCCCTGGTGGTTGGGTGTGTCTCTCTCAACCCTTCCCTAACCCCACCCCACGACATTTAGCCTCTACTGCAAGACCGTTTCTGACTTTTCTAGATTATCTACCCAGATCTCGGCCCTGGGAGCATCTCCTTATGTAAAGCATGTAATAAAACAAATATGAACCAAAGGATGACGACAACAACAACAAAAAAGCGTGCAGCTCAGTACAAGCTGGCCAGTGACTGTTTACCTTACCCAGAGAAATCCCCTCTGCCCAGGCAGCTGGTCAAATACACCTGGTACTAAGCCTGATGTCTATCATTCCCATGTCTCCCTAGGTCCCAGGGATGAAGACCAATCATGACAGGAAGGACCCTTAGTGGGAGCCTGGCTTGGGAGCCTGGCTGGCCCTGGTAAGCAAGCAGAATGGGGGACAAGTGCAGGCTGTTTGGACCCATGAGTCACTTCAATCCACTGCCTACGGGATGAGAGGGAATCTCCCAGTAAGAGGTTTACACACAGCTAGATGGGTTTACGAGCAGAATATGCAGCTCCCCATGACGGCCTCGAAAAGCTACCAGCAGTTACATCTGACAGCAAGGAAGCCAAATGTCCAGGAGGGGCAGAAACAGGCACTGTCATTCAAGCTTCCAGTGAAAAGAAAACAGCTGACAGATGGTGTTTCCTTAGGATATTATCACAGCCGTCCACGCAGCCATCACATCCAACTGGTCGGGGGACTGTGCTTGAGTGTGTCTGCCTCGCGAGCGATAAGCCTTGCAATAAGCCCAGGGCCCAGCAGTCTAGGTCCAGAGAGGCCAGTCTTTCCTTTTCCTAGTTGGTAATTTAAAGTGAGACAGGAGGAAGGAAGGGCAAGGTATGGCTGCTCAGGCCTGATATCCCAGCATCTGGGAGGTGAAATGGGAAGACCGTAAAGGTTAGCCTGGGCTACGAGGAGAAGAGAAAAAACAAAAAAAAAAAAAAAAAAAAAAAAAAAAAAAAAAAGAGGGAGGCAAAGGAGAGAGAGGGGAAGAGAGGGAGAGCGCGAAGGGGGAGGGAGGATGAATGGAAGGGGGGATGGGAACAGGGAAAAGCAGGGCGGGTGGAAAGGAGTGTGCATACAGGACAGACTTCACCAGTGTCCCGGAGCACACATCCCCTGGCTCCAGCCACTCCATGATCTAACAGAAGAAACAATCTCATCCTCTTCCTATACTTTTCCCCTTTCTGGGTGATCAGGGAATCCAGGCACCAACTTGGAGGTCCTCCTGCCCACCTCTAAGACCTACTGCGTATGAATGTGGTAAGTCACACACATCCCACCCTGAAACTGGCATCGGCCCTTCTCCCCTCTGCCAATAACATGCACTGTGGTAACCAAGTTCAGCCAAGGCTTCTTCCAGCTGCCATCTCACAGCCTGGCCTTGGCTCTCTGCTTGGCCAAGTAGTCCATGCCAGACAGTGATGCTCAAACCAAGCCCAAGTCACCTGACTGATTTCCATACAGACGCTCGATAGATAGCTCTAGTTCTCCCCGGTGGTGGTGATATTGTTGCTGTTGTTATCCTACATGGTAGGGAGGAAACCAGGAGCTGAGAGACAGGTTGCCCATAGACATCAGAGGTGAACCCCAACCTCCCAGACTTCCCCTCCTCCTGCCACTTCCTGTTAACCTGTGCAGATGTGATGAACTAGCAGAGGTCTTTTGCATCTTTAAGTGTGTTGTCATCTCCCTGATGGCTCGATCAGTTCTTGAGACCCAAATCAGGATCAGAAGCCCCCTCCCGCACAAGGTTCCAGTTGCTCACGTATACACACATGTTACACACCAAGTCAGCTACAACTTACACATCTGACATTCAAAATCTGATCTGTTAGTCATGCTAACAAGCAAGCGCTTTCTTTATGGAAGGAATCGCCACTCACTTCCTCTAATGTCTGGTCTGTTGAGAATCCACCAACGACCTGGAGGTATGAATGGCTCCATCGGGGCAAAACAGAACCAGATGCGACAGCCCAAAGGAAAATGATACTCACCAAGTGAGGCATCAGGAGATCAGCCAGGTAGACAAAAGCTGCTCCCAGGGTGAAGCCAACAGCCACCGGGAAGAAGGCAAAGGCACCGAAGCCCCCTGAGGACGTGGCCATCTCAACCGCTGGTGCTAGCAGAGACCAATAGGAAGCTGCTAGCATGACCTGCAGAAACCACAGGGGGCAAAAAGTCGTTAACCAACTGTCTTAATGAGAGTTTCTGCTGCTGTGACTGAACCATAAGTTGCGGAGGAAAGGGTTTATGGGGCTCACACTTCCACATTGCTGTCCATCCCTGAAGGAAGTCAGGACAGGAACTCACACAGGGCAGGACCTGGAGGCAGGAGCTGATGCAGAGGCCACAGAGGGGTGCTGCTTACTGGCTTGCTCCTCATGGCTTGCTCAGCCTGCTTTCTTATAGAACCCAGGACGAGCAGCCCAGGGATGGCACCGCACACATAGGCTGGACCCTCCCCCGTTGATCACTAACTGAGAAAATGCCTTTATAGCTGGATCTCATAGGGACATTTCCTCAACCAAGGCCTGTCCCTCTCTAATGAACCTTGTGTTGAGTAAATACACAAAACCATCCAGAACATCAGCCCATAAGGCTTTTTAGGGTGGGGGACCCTATAATGTGGGGACCCTAAAAGAGGGACTCCTACTAACCAACCCATAAGGCCTCCCAAGGAGGAAAAACCAGGGAAACAGGGAATCCAACTTTAAAGCCTGGGGGGGATGGGAGAAGAAACCCATAAGGCCTTGGGGGTAAGGAATGTCAATGCATAAGGCCTTCTGAGGGGGCCTCATTATTCTCTGTACCATAAAATAAGCCATACAATTTCATACTTGCTAGGACTTTAATCTCAGATGGTAGGTGCTATCTCAACCAAAAGACTCCCCCTAAGACTAACAAAAGTTCCTCCCGGAATTCATGCTTTATGAACCTAACTTGGCAAAGGTAAAGCCACTGGCAAATGGGCCCTGCTTTTGTAAGCATGCACCCATTGTGTCAATAGCAGTAAAGGCATGAGAACAGAGAGGGGACTAGCTGAGAAGAGGAAAGGGATCATCAGGGATGGGAAGGGTAGAGGGTAAGGGGGATGGGTATGACAAAAATACATAATGTATGAGAATGTCATCATGAGATCCATGTATAATAATGTTGTTGTGGTTTGAGTGTAATTGGACCCCATAATCCCATAACCCCATAATCTCATAGGGAGCAGCACTATTAGGAGGTGTGGCTTTGTTGGAGTGGGTGTGGCCTTGCTAGAGGAAGTGTGTCACTGTGGGGGCGGGCTTTGAGGTTTCATAGACTCAGGATACCGCCCTTGACTTCCTGTTGCCTGCAAAATGTAGGACACTTAGCTATTTCTATTTCTCCAGCACTGTGCCCGCCTGCGTGCCACCATGGTCCCTGCCATGATGACCTCTGAAACTGTAAGTGAGCCATCCCAAGTAAATGTTCTTTTTATTACTATTATTCTTTTTCTTGTTTTACATATCGATCCCAGTTCTCTCTCCCTCCCATCTTCCCATAATAACCCCCAACCCCCCCTCCCATCCCACCCCCATCCCACTCCACAGGGAAGGTGAGGCCTTCCAACAGGGATCATCAAAATCTGTCAAGTCATTTGGAGTAGGGGGGTCTAGGCCCTCCCTCCTAGTAAATGCTTCCTTTATAAGAGTTGCCATGGTCGCCTGGCAGTGGTGGCACACGCCTTTGGTCCCAGCACTTGGGAGGCAGAGATAGGTGAATCTCTGTGAGCCTGTGAGTTCCAGACCAGCATGGTCTACAAGAGCTAGTTCCAAGATGGGGTCCAAAGCTACAAAGGGAAACCCTGTCTCAGGGTAAAAAAAAAAAAGAGTTGCCATGGTCACGGTGTCTCTTCACATCAATAGTAAACCCTAACTGATAATTAATGTATGCTAATAAGAACGTACAGAAATAAACCCAGTTGGGGACAGGATAGAATTGATCTGAAAGGATGGAGTCTAGTTTGCTGCTATCTAGCCTCTGACACAGGAGTTATTATGAAAGAGTGATGTTTGCACTCCACGGGACAGGCGACAGTGCTGAACAAGAGTCACCTTGAGTTGAAACACTGAGGGTGGGACAGGGGGCTATATCTATTGGGAAACACCCTGCAATACACACCATAGGCCCTGACAACCACGAGGCATCTGGCCCCAGATGTGAGTCCTAAGGCTGCTGAGAAATGCTGCTCTACTTTAAAGCTCCTGACGCAAATGCTCACGGCTGCGTAGGCTGAGCTGCATCAGCACATGGCTGATTACAACAGAGATCTTCCTTGTGTCGAAGTGACTTGTGTCTCCCCTCCACGTTTGCCTCTTCACCCTTCCTGCTCTCTGGCACATCATAAATGGTGGGCCTGCCCCTTGTGACATGTGGCAGCATTTGAAATGTCTGAAGGTGCCAGTATGTCAATGTCAGAAAAATGAAGAGGGAAGCTAATATCTATTGATCAACAGCCATTTCTAGCCACCATTTGATATCTTGTCTTGACATCACAACTCCAGGAGGCAGATGTGTTCTGTTGTTACTTGTGAAACAAGAAATTGAATCTCAAGCTAAGGTTGTGGGCTCGGTCAGAAAACTGTTTCCTATATCAGCATGAGGACCCAAGTGCGACCTTCCAGAATCTGTTTAAAAGGTCAATGTGGCCGCCCGTGCTTGCAATCCCAGCTCTGGGATGGTAGAGACAGATGGATCCCTAGGGGTTGCTGAGCAGCCAACCTAGACAAACTGGCCAGCTCTAGGTTCCATGAGAGGCCCCATCTCAATAAACAAAGTGGATGGCCCCTGAGTCACAACACCAGAGTTGATCCCTGGCCTCCACAATGTAGATGCATACCCATTTTGATGGCTAATCTTGGTTGTCAATTTGATACACCTGGGAGGGACCCTCAACTGGGGAATAGCCACCATGAGAACAGCCTGTAGGCACACGTCTGTGTGATATTTTCTCGATTGACATGGGAGGGCCCAGTCCGTTGTGGGCAGTGCCACTCCTGGGCAGGTAGTTCTGGGCTGTCTAAGAACGGTAACTGGAACAAGCCAGGAAGCAACATTCCCTCATTGTCTGTTTGACTTCCCACCTCCAGGTTCCTGCCTTGAGTTCCTGCCCTGATTTCCCTTTGTGAAGGGATGTCAGCTAAGATAAAATAAAGTTGTAAAATTAAAATAAACCCTTTTCCTCTCCAAGTTGCTTTTGGTCAGTTATTTTATGATACCAACAGAAAAGCAAACTAGGACACTCCTACACCCAAACACATACACATTAAAAATGAAAAGAAACCGAATCCTAAATACTAAGGCAATTTGTTCCTTTCCACCCAGGCAGTAAGTGGTGGTTGCAGGGCACAAACCGAGCAGGACCACAATCGATTCAATGACTATAAGAGAATAAACAAGGCTGGTCTCAGAGGTCAACAAGCTCAATGTGACAAACTGTTCTCCAGAGTGGACCAAATTAACTAATCGCCTGTGGCTTTTTAATCTTATACACGCTGCGACATCTTCATGGCTAGAGTCCACCCACCACCTGTCGTAACAGTCACAGACGACATATAAAATGTTGAATGGATTTCTAAAATTTACTTAATTATGCTGTGTCACCCATCTCCAAAATGACACACAGAGTGACAGAACCAGGCATTAGGACAGCAGGAAGAAAGAACAAGCTATTCAATTCGGGAAGCTGTGGATTTCCCTCTACCAGCCACTGCTCACACAGAACCACCGGCCCTGGATCTGACTCTCCCAGCAGAGGTCTTAATGTCACCCATGGAAATATGCCTCTGCCTCTGAAGCTCCCAGGGATGATGAAAGTGTGACATCTTAACCAGATGGGCGCAAAGACTGACTGGACCAATGCCATGAGTCCAGGCAACAAAAGGGTCCAAGGACTCCCCAGCCAGACTTCACTGGCTTTAGACTTCCACAACCAGTGTAAGCTCACCACCTGCACAGGGACAGACATGGGGATGCTCCTCATTCTCTTCTGTGAACTTGACCTAACCAGTAACCTGCCCCTCGTAAGATCCCCTCTTTAACAATTTCAGAACCATGAGACCCGCAGACAGCCACTGATCAGACCTTCCAAGACCTCTCTATATACTATGTGGAGACAAAGCAACTCTGCCAGCGTCACCTAAACTACTTCCCCCAGACTCTTTGCTCCTGTGGAGACAAAGCAACTCTGCCAGCGTCACCTAAACTACTTCCCCCAGACTCTTTGCTCCTGTTTCAAAATCTACTCCAACATCTTCTGTTGCAGTCTCCATCTCTCTGAATCTCTAGGTACCAACCCTACTTTCTGCCTATAATGGCTAATCTTGGTTGTTAATCTGAATGGGTCTGGAATCAACTAAAAGACAAGGTCCTCGGCACTGCTGGGAGAGATTTCCTTGCTTACATTATCTGAAGAGGAAAGACCTACCCTAAATGCCAGCTGAACATCCCAATAGCAGCCCTGATTAAAAAGAGGTGGGGGAGGGGAAGCTTTACTTTTTACCTGCTTGCCTTCTCTCTGCTGGTAAATTCATCTACCCTGTTGCTGAAGCATTCCTATGCAACATTAGAACCAACTCCCCCAGGCTTCCAAAGTAGACTGGATACCAGCAGCTCTCCAGGAGCCCTCCAGGCCTTCAGCACCACACTGGGGCTGCTGAGATACCCAGCCACATAGACTTAAGAACTTCTGGATTCTCAACCTCTCTAGCCACTGTTGCACTGGCTAGACTGTATCAGGTGAGACAGTCTAATAAGCCCATTTTAATATACATTTATTCTATTGATTCTGTCCTTTATAACCTCTAAAGGACTACCACAACTAATACATGTCACTATGCATGAGAAACTTGCCAAGTTCCCACAGATATGTCACTAAGGATAGGGCAGAGAGAGAGAGACGTGGCTCCCATAGACTCATAGGGAGCAGCATTATTGGAGGTGCCATCCTGTTGGAGTAGGCCTGGCCTTGTTGGAGGAAATGTGTCAATGAGGGCGGGCGTTGAGGTTTCAGAGGCTCAACCCAGGCCCAGTGTGTCTCTCTTCCTGCTGCCTGCTGATCCAGATATAGAATTCTCAGTTACTCTCCAGCACCGTGTCTGCCTGCACGCCATGCTTCCCACGGTGA